AGTTTCAAAAGAAAAACGATATGATAAATGATAAACGACAAAAACAAAAACAAATTGAATAGAAGTTCAAATGATAATAATGTCAAGTAAAAGAAAAGTTAGATTTGTTGTATGGTTAAAGACTTTTTTGATTCAATTTGCTTAGCCAATTTGAAGGACAACTTTACAATAATTATCTAAAAATTTATACAAGTATAAAATGAATATAAATGAATAATATAATTTAGTTACTGTAAGAATCAAACAAACACTGCAAATAATAATAATGAAAATCCCTATTGAAAGACCAATGGTGAAATTTTTGTTTTCAACGTGATTATTTATGTTTGTGCCAGAAGTAGATGCAAGAAGAAGAAGAATCAAGAAAATCCCCAATCCAATAACAAATAGAACCATTCCAATTATACCAAGCCAAGCAAACTATAGATTTACAATATAAATATATTTGTTTTAATTAAAATCTATTATTGATAAACAATTCAATTAATATTTTATATTCATTTAATATTTAACTATCAACAGTCGCTTTTTATAAATTTATTTTTTTCTCATGAGTCTCAGCTCGGTATTCATTTGTTTTATCAATATATATATGACTCCGAATAAGTTTATTTAGTAAACAAATATATATTGTAAAAAAAATGAAAAAGTATTGAATTTAATGAAGATCTATCATCTCAATTGCATAAAACTATACTTTAAATAAACTGAAACAATCATTAATTTTTATTTCATTTGATTGATAAATCTAAAATACTTGCAAATATTTTATTTCTTGTAAAGACTAAAACGAAATGAAAAAGAATATTTTAGATGAATATACTTTCCAAACGTATGTCTTCTATAGAGATTCATCGAATAAATCATTTTATTTGACAATAGAATTTGACTCATCATTTATTAAAATAAACTTGATTGAAATTTTCTTCGAAAAACTTTTTCAAATCATATCTCTTTTCTTCGATTAGAAAAAAATTATTTTACTTGAATTATATATGATAAGAATAATATAGCTATTAAAAGTAAAAACATACCACTCGTAAACCTGTTTCATAATATTGATAAGCGACGAATATTCCAAATCCATAAAATATAACTGATATAAGAGATTGACCAATTTGTGCACCACGTTGAGTTCCTTGCATACGATTAGAAATTCCATTTCCTGATATGGCATTTATTGTTCCGATTACAGAGAAAGCCTTAAATATTATATAGAATTCTAAGATTTATTTAAAATAGATCGTTTGAATTCCTATCAATAAATATTGAAAATATTTTATAAGACTATCAATATTCTTAAACGATAACTATTTCAAATTATCTTATGATTTGTATCGAACAAGTTCATTTTCATCAGTATGTCGGTAGATAGAAATAAAATTCCCTTAATGTAAATAAATCTTTTCTTTCTATAATATATTATGTCTAAATTCAAAGTGAGAATCATTTTACTCTTATCAAATAAGATAAACATGGATCATGAATAGTTCTGCATAATATGCATTGTTTTAATAATATGATTTCTTTTATTTCTTTCTGACCTTCCATTGAGGGTTCATGAAAAAAGACGAGTAGAGAGGGTCAATGTAAAAATAAACAAGAGGAAAAGTAGGATGGTCTTATTTCAATTTTTGAGATCATAAAAAAAATCACTCAAAGTGAAGGAAAAACTACAACATTACAAAAGTGATTCTTTATTAATCTCTGTTTGATGGTAGTTTGAAATATAACTGATGTTGTAAAAGTTCCTGGAAAAATATCCGACTGTTCTATTTGAAGAGAAGATGATAGAAAGATAATTTTGTTTTTTGTTAGATAGAACTTGATTTCTACTTTCAAAGCATATCTGTCACAAACTTCTATTCATATACTAATAGCAAAATATATTCGGTTTTTATAAATCTTCTAAAAAGCAGACCGTAACATTTTAAACAGTAAACAAAGACATGTGCTTGTCAACTAAAATGACTTGTATGCTGTATCATTTCTCAAAGACCATCTAGAGAAATTTTCAGTTTATGCAAATCTTTCTTTATTGAGACTCACTTTTTCAAAATTATGTTGGCATATATTCCGAAACTTTTTGTAAAAGTAAGTATTACAATTTCAAATATCTAATTAATTTAGGACAATGAATTTAGTAAGGTTTTTCTCATATTCTTCTAGTTTGTAAAAATGGATATTTATAGTGATAAGAGTTTGAAACAATTGATACACATCAATTTTCAAAACTGTTAAAATGATTTTTTTTTCTGCCAACAGTAAATGATAATAATCAAGTTTTTCAGTAGTTTGCGTGTGACAAAAATCTGCATCATTTTGTATATAACGTGTAAAATGGAGTCCAAAATATTGCATTTAAGGTAAGATATTGAACTTTTTTTTTCGACGAAATCAATAGCAAAATTGCAGAAATTTAAAGTACCTTTTTTAGCAGTTTTAGAGAAATCAAATGGATTTGTCTATTTATCTATGAATATAAGTTTTCGAAACATATCCTTTCGGAATAATAAACACGATCCATCTAACAAATACAGAGTTAGCTTTTTCGCACCTTCTGTTCACATAGAATAGTCTGGCAGTTTTCCAAGAACTTTTGAAACATCCGTTATGTTACGCTATATTGTTATAGATTTAGAGATGTCAACCAATCTATCGAAGTTATTATTATCTTTCCTAACTGAATTGAATGTTGTCAAAGTTGGTTGAAGTTCAATCGATTACTTTTCATCATGTTTAACTGTGTTTGTCGTTTTCTTTGCAACTTGGTTCCGTTTTAAATCTTTTTCTATCTAAGATAGTTGCATATTATATTTTCATAGTGCTAATGTATTCTCGACGTGAAAAAGAAAAACGAAATTGTGTTCACTATCGTACATGAACCTGCTATTTCTGAAAAAATCAATCTATGCTAAGTTTTCCTATCTAAACTTCACTTTTTGATAAAAAAAGAGGATAAAATGTAGAGCAGAAAGAGTGGGTGGCCAGGATCCTTTCAACAAGATTATTCATGTTTTTTTATTCGTTGCTTATTATTCTCAACATTTTTCCGAAGATTCCGGGGAAAAAATAATTTATTTTTAAAAAATATTTGAAAACGCTTGAATTTTGTTTTTTATTTAAATATTTAAGGAAATGTAAAATCTAACTATGATTAAATTCTAAATAAATATTTAATTATTTGATATTTATATTAATATATAGATATAAATTTATTGTTGTTGAGATAAAATACATATAATCTAATTAATATTGATATCAAATAGAAAAAAATGAGACGATTTATGTGATAATTATTATCCATTCAGAATGAAAATGAAAATAAAAACTTACAAGACACACGCCAAGTATAATTAAAAGAATTTTTCGAGTTCGTTGTATTTCAGGATCTTCAATAACTGATAATGGTTTTGAAACAGGTATTGAAGATGTATTTATCATACCGACTTTTTCACTTCCTTGTTCGAATCGCATATCGATGATGCACACTTTTATTTTATGATAAGTTAAACGCTAGTAATAACGAGAAAAATAACAAAGAAAAGAAAAAACAAGTAAGTGATATGATTGATTTTCTCCCTTCCACTCGATTATAAATTAGATAGAACGAAAAAAAACCAGGTCAAGACTAATCGTGACAATAGATTGTTGTGTACACAAGCAGTAGAACTACAACGGATATAACATGGATTGATCTATTCAAGAGATAAAGCAATAAACTATTTTCAATCTTATCAAAGAATATTTATACTTGACGTAATCAAATGAAAATATTCTCAAAAAAATATTACTAGAAAATAATAAACAATAATAATAATTGATATTTAGTAGATAGATATTATTATCATTGACTTAATCTGATGTTATTTATTCGTTGATTGACAATAAATAAATAGTGAATTATAGTAGAAAACAACACAGTATATATTTGTAAATCTATTCTTCCTACAGCTTTTTATTTTAATAGATTAGAACGATGATACATGAACGTCCAAATATTTATCTTCATTTATTTATTATTTAATTGAATGTTTAAAACAAATATCAATATCTGAATAGGATTACAATTTATATTACTTTTCAAAATTTTCTATAATGACTCTGATAATCATAGTTTTTTTCTTTCTTTTTTTAAACTAAGTACAAAAATAGGGTAGTTTAACGCAGTTTGCTATGTTCCACAAAAAGGTATAGTGATTATATATTTACAATTAACATCTGTTTCATTTTATATCGAATCATAAAAATAGAATATTGCTATTTTTATGATTCTATAGAATATATGACAAAAGTTAATAGTTTCTATGATCACTATGTTCATTTTTCGAATGTGATTAATTACTTTCATTGATACAATAAATTTTTATATTCAATTTGCACAAGAAAAAAATAACTGTTCTAATAGTTATTATCAAAAATGTTCAAAAGTGATTGTTCTACTTAAAACTATATAAACCTTCAGATCTTTTTTAGAGACCGAATAAAACAATATATAAATAGAGAAATCTAATCAATCCGACGTTGTTCTTCATTTTAAGAGGACTCTAAGAATTAACAGTAAATTTACAAGATGATTAGTCCTTTATTTAAATATATATTTAAACGATTCTTTCGAGACAATTTAATTATCTTGACATATCAATCTTTAATCATAAATTAATTCAAAAAAAAATCAATCAAATAAATAAATATAAGTCGACAGATGAAGGAAACTGATGTTAATCATATTTAGTGGTTATTTTGAAATAGCATATCAGATTTCGATAAGACTTGGAAATCAGCAATTTCTATCTATCATCATCATAGTATAGATAACATCATCAATTCTGATTAGTAAAATAAATCATTAATTGAAGAAAAACTACTGATATTAAACTTGTTATAGTTCTCGTATATCTTAGAGAATATTAACATGTCTTTTTGATAAGACAGATATTCTCATGTGTTTGATACAATAAATCTTCTAACATAGCTCTCTATAAAATTCTTTCATATAACAGATGATGTTTTTTTTTAATAAATAAACTCTCTTTATACGTTAATTCATATGTATACTATGGTCTTTTAATAACCTTTCTCATACAATTCATCACTAGTCTTTGTAAAAGTTCGATTGTAATATAGTTTTCAAGTCAATCTGTCGAATTCAATCATACATATACTATTTTTTCTTTGGATTTTTTTCATTATTAGACAACATTTGATATATATATATATATATGTTTTTCAATCTTTATTTTACATTTATTATTGAATAAGCTAAAGCAAACCAAATTGAAACTTTTTATTTTGAGCTAATTGTACAAGTGTTGGAAGACGATGAATGTCATCATATACGAAACTTATCTACCGAGATTCTCAAACATCGACATATTATCAAAGCGTGTAGCTATTATTCAAAGAGCAAAATATTATTTATACATTCTCCTTTCTTTTCATCTTTATCTGATTATATGTAGTATAAGTATGAAATGTAACTGTCGATGATTAAAGAAAAAACACCGAAGAAACTTTTTATTTTGTTACTTTTGGTCCATCCTCTATATGATCTGTGCGAATTCTGAAATTTCGAGATCTGTTATTGTGATAACCATAGCAGAGCGTGGGGTGTGTGTGCGTGTCTTTTTCTTTTAGATGTAGCCACCCACACCTTGATAAACCAGTCTTTTGGAACTTTTGGAGTCATAGTTTGAGCTATCGAAAATCTGATTTTACAATGGGATATAGCTCATCGAGTTGTACTTCGAACACGAATGGAACTTTTGGAACATGTTCCTGAGCGAATTCCAGCTAATTTTACCCGAATGTTTTTCAAACTTCACCTACGTTTTGTGATGATGAAAACTTCTTTCGTTTTATTTCATGATTATTTTGTTAAGTTCACATGTTCTGCCTCTGATGTTAAATGTAGTTTCGCATTGAGTGATCTTCATTTCGTGAATAGAAAGCATATGTTTCTCACAGAAAATTTCCGAAAAAAGAATACAGATGGACTTTACTAAATTCTTTAAGTTCTGATCTTCGTTTGATTATCATATTTCCACTATTTATTTTCATAAATCACAAATTTCTACCAGTATTCACAAAAAGAGAAATATTTTTCTTTGTATAGATAGTTCAAAAACAAAATGTAATTAAGCAGTTTTATCTTAAGTCTAAGTTCATTCTCATCCAATTCTTATTTTATTTTTGCTTTCTTTTTGAATTAATTGGATAACTATAATCTAACTTAAGATTGAACTATGCATCAAATATAAATTTTTACTTGAACAAATCGTTTCGAATAAATAATGATTCCGAAAAACATTAGAACAATGAAACATATTTTTCACAACATTCAAAACTATCGGTTATTTCCAATTAAGACTTTTTCTGTCATATTAACATAGAACTTCAACTGCACAAGCATGAAATCCTATGTAAGGTAAATATTTTTTGACGAAAAAGCAGTATTTGTAGAGAAAAAACTATATACATTTTCATGAATGAGAGAATGCATATTTTTATGATTTTTAACATGCTAATGTTTTCATTTTTGGAATATCTGGTCAACAAAGATTTGGCACTGATTGCAAAATATGTGAATTTGACACTGAGGGATGATTTTCTCCGATCAAGATTATGAATTTAATTAATATTTTTACATGTTCACAAAAACGTTTTTGTCTTTAGTGACTGCGATTAGCAGTCTAATTTGAATACGGCTCAAATATTTCTAACGAGGAAAAATACGGGAAAATAAGTTCATTAAACATATGAGACAAGGAGTGAAGGAATTCCATAACATCAGAAACACTTTCCATGCCTTCAATACGAGTGAATATGTTTCTCACGACAAAATTTTGAATGATAAACGACTCTTACACTTGCTTTATGTTTTTGCAATAAAAAAATACTTTTTCTTCCTTATACTTTCTGATTTTAATATTAAGACTTTAAATTTTTCGATCACAGCAATTAACTTTCAATGATAAAGAATTTGTTTCGAACACTCTCGATATACACATGGAATATCATATCTATGAGTAATCAGACTATCAATTCGTTGTCACACATGAACGTAAAAATTGAATTTTCTAAATCGTTTATAATTCCAGTAGTTCGAAGTTTTGTCTCTAGACTGCTTGCTTTCTAAATAATGTTGGGAATGATTGCAGTGTGCCGTCAGTTTTTCAAGAAATTCTATTCATAAATCATGAAAACACTTCAATTAGACAAGCTCTAGACCTATAGATGGGGATTCTGAAAACTGAATTATGTTTCGGTCAGTAG